GGAGCAGAGGGGAGGGGAGGAGCGGGGCAGGGCAGGGGGAGGAGGAACAGGGAGGGGGAAGAGAGGAGCTGCTGGAGGGTTTGGGGGGTTTCAGTTTGGGGCCGGGGGGTGCCACGCAGGGAACCCCAGGCTGGGGTCTAAGCTCCCTGCCCCCCAGAAGGACGTGGCTGAGGGGCCCTGGTTGTAGCTACGAGCTCTGCTCGGGACCGTGCTCCTGTTCTCCAATAAACCCTCCGTGTCACTGGCTGGCTGAGAGTCCCGGGGAGTCGCAGGAAGTGGGGGGTGCAGGGCCCTGAGTCCCCCGCACTCCGCGACACCCCCAGCCCATTTCTCACCCCTGCCCCCCAGGCGGCAGCGGGGCCCCGCGGGGCCGGCGGGAGCGGCACCGGGATGGCGGAGGAGAAGAAGCTGAAGTTGAGCCACACGCTGCTGCCGGCCGAGTCCATGAAGGTGATGGCGGAGGCCATGGGCATCGCCCAGGTGCCCGAGGAGACCTCCCAGCTGCTGGCCGACGAGGTCAGCTACCGCATCAAGGAGATCGCCCAGGTATGGGGGGGGCCCCACACAGCCCCTCATGCGTCCCCTGCCCTGGGGGGAGCCCCTTCCAGCCCCCCCCAGCCAGCCGTCCCTCACACACGCTGTCCGTACCTACACCCACCCCCAGAGAAAATCCCCCACGCCCCAGGGTGTAGCCCCATCCCAGCACTAGGAGAACCCCAGTCCCCCTACACTTGAGCCCTACTCCCCTCCCCCCGCTCTGTTCCCACCCTCGCCTTCCCAGGGGCCATTGGGGCGAAGAGGAGCCGCCCCCTGTGGTAGTCCTGCCCCCCACGTGACACAGATTTACATCCCCCCCCCGTCTCCCCACAGGATGCCCTAAAGTTCATGCACATGGGCAAGCGCCGGAAGCTGACCACAGGCGACGTGGACTACGCCTTGAAACTGAAAAACGTGGAGGTAACAGTGTGTGGGGGGGGCCCCCTGCTCCAGCCCCTGCTGCTGAGGAGCTGGCAGGGCCGGGGTGTGGGCTGGGCCCCCTGGGCTAGTTGGGCTCCATGCTAGGGGGCCCCTTGCTCTAAGGGTTGGGCGTCTCTGGCCTTGGCGGGTGGGTCCTGCAGCTCAGGGTGTTTCTGGGTGGGGGCACATGCCTGTGGAGGCTGGGCTGTGCGGGGGGGCCTGTGAGCTTTGGGGGGTCCCTCCCAAGGCCTGGCAGCCTGCCGGTCACCGTGGCGAGACCCGCGTGATGTGTAGGGAGTTAATTTCCGGCATGGATACGTCTGTTCCCGAGAACGGGGCATGGTGCCTGGGGGGCGGCTGGCGAGCCCCTCCGTGATGGGCCCAGTGTGTATCGCACCCGGGGCCGTTCCTGTCGGTACATAAAGCCATGGAGCCAGGCTCAGCCTGAGGGCTTACACAGCCAAGGGGACCCCAGAGAAGTCTCCACGGGGGGACCTCATGGGGCCCCAGCCAATACTCTGTC